CGACGAGTATTGAATTGCAAGACGAAGCCCGCGGTACGAACTCCCCCATGCGGTCCGAGCCCCCCTCACAGCGGGAGGAAATCATGACACGCACACAACACAACACACCTCTTCCTCGGCGTCTTTCTCGTCGAGGCGGCGGCGAAGAGTCGCAACTTCCTCCGACAGTTGCTGGTTCGCCGCCCGCCCACGTCGAATGACTTCGTGGTTTTGCGCTATGACCGCCGCGGCGTCATGTTCGATCTGGCGACAAGTTAATGTCCACACGGATGTGCAACGCACGTGATGAATGTGGAACCATCGAAAAGCTTTGAACACGAATTTGGAAAAGGTTGTAGCCGAATTCGCCGGACCAACGATAGCCAGGTCCTGCACTCATTTGCACACATTCACCACTCCCACCTGCCCAATTTAGACACGTCGGGCGAGCAGGTCTTCGCCGGCAAGCCCCTGTGCCTCCTGATGACATCAATGTTCAACCCGAGATTTCGAAGGTGTGGCTTCGTCTTGGGACTCCTGACTCCTCGGTACACCTAAGGCAAAAGTGTCTTCTGCACCCCCAACCTTCCACGCGTCATCCTCTAGTGATTGCTGCGTGTACGGCGCTCACCCATCCTGGACCCCGCCCACACCGTCGAAATCTCGGGTTGAACATTGACGTCATCAGGAGGCACAGGGGCTTGCCCGCGAAGACCTGCTCGCCCGACGTGTCCAGATGCGGCAGGTGGGAGAGGTGAATGTGTGTGAATGAGTGCAGGACCTGGCTATCGTTGATCCAGCGACTTCGGCTACATTTTTCCAATGGTCGTGTTCAAAGCTTGTCCATAGTCCTCCACTTATCACGTATGTTGCACATCCGTGTGGATGCGCTCCTGTAACGTTTCGCCAGATCGAACATGACGCCGCGGCGATCATCGCCCAGAACTACCAAGTCATTCGACGTGGGCGGGCGGCGAACCAGCAACTGTCGGGGGAAGTTGCGACTCTTCGCCGCCTACTCGACGAGAAAGAGGCCGAGAAAGAGGTGTGTTGTGTTGTGTGCGTGTCAGGATCTCCTCCCGCTGTGAGGGGGGCTCAGACCGCACCCGGGAGTTCGAAGGTGTGGCTTCGTCTTGGGACTCCATACTCGTCGGTACAGCTAAGGTCAAAGTGTCTTCTGCACCCCCAACCTTCCACGCGTAATCCTCTAGTGATTGCTGCGTGTACGGCGCTCACCCATCCTTGACCCCGCCCACACCGTCGAAATCTCGGGTTGAACATTGATGTCATCAGGAGGCACAGGGGCTTGCCGGCGAAGACCTGCTCGCCCGACGTGTCCAAATTCGGCAGGTGGGAGTGGTGAATGTGTGAGAATGAGTGCAGGACCTCCCTATCGTTGATCCAGCGACTTCGGCTACATTTTCCAATGGTCGTGTTCAAAGCTTTTCGATGGTTCCCCATTCATCACGTGTGTTGCATATCCGTGTGGACGTGCTCCTGTGACTTGTCGCCAGATCGAACACGACCGCGCGGCGGTCATAGCGCAGAAGGATGAGAGCATTCGACGTGGGCGGGCGGCGAACCAGCAACTGTCGGGGGAAGTTGCGACTCTTCGCCGCCTACTCGACGAGAAGGAGGCCGAGAAAGAGGTGTGTTGTGTTGTGTGCGTGTCAGGATTTCCTCCCGCTGTGAGGGGGGCTCAGACCGCATGGGGGAGTTCGTACTGTGGGCTTCGTCTTGGGATTCGATACTCGTCGGTACAGCTAAGGTCAAAGTGTCTTCTGCACCCCCAACCTTCCACGCGTAATCCTCTAGTGATTGCTGCGTGTACGGCGCTCACCCATCCTTGACCCCGCCCACCCCGCCGAAATCTCGGGTTGAACATTGATGTCATCAGGAGGCACAGGGGCTTGCCGGCGAAAGGGCCTTTCCCAAGAATTGGAACTCTACCAGGTGGGGTGGCGAAGGGCCTCTCGGGTTGGACTCCCCCCCGAGAGTAATATGCCCATCCGATGAGTCACTTTGTGTCGGGTAATGTAAAAGTTGCCAGTGATTTCGATATCCCCGTGAGGAAACTTCCGTTACGCTACGTTTGGAACTCACGCCGTCATACGAGGAAGTTTAACCACGCGAGCTGGTTCCAAGCGATGCGACAAAAGGTATTGATTTTATAGTTATAAGACGATGTTTGGAATTCCGCTCTCTCAAAAGCAAAAGATCACGAGTCTCAAGCGCCAGCAGCACAGCGCTATGCAGAGACAAACGCAGGACGCGACAGCAGCAGTGGCCGCGGCGAAAACCGAGAGCAAGAAGAATAGGTCGCAAAACTAACAACCGAACTTGACGAGAAGGAGCAGCGCATCTCATTACTCGAAAGGGCCGCGATAACGCTTCAGCAGAATCGTAGGCCTTCGTAACCTTTGGTTCCGTGCTTTCCCCTCTGTATCGCCGCAGGAGGGTGGCGACGGAGGCACGGGAGCAGGAAGCGCCGACCCACAATGTCGGTACAGCCGAGACTTCTTCGACGCTTAGCAGCCACAAGGTGGGGACGGGCAACGCCATATTGACGTACTATCGTCCTGGTTTGGTAGGAGCGTGATTGACCGATGTTGAGGCTTCCATGTGCGGCAATGATGCAGCCCGGTAAGTGGCCGATGCAATACGTCGCTCAATTTGTAAACGCAGTTGCCGAGGCGTTGATTGCGCTGGCCTTGGCCTCTACCAGCAAGTCGTCCACAATATCAATTTGCAACGTCATATACCGACGCTTCCTGCCTGCGGTTTCGTCTCTGCCGCTGGGGCGCTCGTTTCGTCCGTGCTGCTTGTGTTTTTGTGCATTGCTGCGTTTGTGCATTGCTGCGTCGGAAATCAGCCCATCCCACTGGCCGGGTATGAGCAAATGTCAAACTACACGCGCCCAGTCGTCGAGGACGTCAAACCCTGGTGTGATGGCTCCGTAATGGTGGTTGTCGACAATTGTGGCAACTGCTACTCAAGTAGCTGGTTCCTGATTGTCATCCTGTGGGCCGTGCAGAGTCCGGGAAGGCTCCGTGATTTGATGGGGAAGCTCCAGGACGGGTGCCTCGAGGGAGGGGCATTGTTCGACATTCCGCTGCCCTACCAGGTACGGGTTCCTGTCGTCGTGCCCACACCATACAATACGTTTTCTGGTGCCTTTGTGGAACTCATGGTATTCTGTCATCTGAGCTGAAGGAGAACGTTTGGCTAGGATAGGGCAACTATCGCCACCATCGATGTCTTCTCTGCATGCAACGACTGGGCTGAGCCAGATGAAGTACAACAAGTGTAAGAAATTACATTGGCGTCTACACGTGCCACCCAGCGACAACCCCGTGGTTGAGGTCGCACCAGTCCTGCCCGACTATTGTCAATACGTTCCATTATCATTTACCACAGGAAACATGTGGTCGCGCGTATTTACAAGACGATCAGTTCGTGGTTTTCTACCCCTGGCCACCTCAAGCATTGTCGATATACAGTATCAGATTAGGGTTATTTTTTTCTTGGGTTGCGTTCCGACAAGGTAGTTCGGCCCCCTGGGGCGCAATAACCCGTCGATAGCAAACCATTGTCCCCGGAAAGTACTTACCAGTAAAACTTCCTCGCGCTTGCTCCAGGAAACACTGGAGCCGACCTTGGCTTCGGGGTGCACAGAAGTGGCCTCGCTATTATTCTTCTTTGACGTGGTATTTCCCACATACGAGATCATCGTCGATCGAGGTCACCGCCGCTACAAAACGACTCGTCGAGCGTGGAGTGGATGGTGAATGTGTGCACCGCATGTTAATCCCTTTCCGCCTCGCGCCGTCGCCCCCGCCGCCTCCACCCCCACTTCATTGCAGGGGTACGTCAAGGCCGTGTGCGACCTGATCGAGGCCCTGCAGGAGCGCTGGGAGGAACGCACAAGATTTGCCAAGGACGACGACCGCGACTACCACGGCGTCCAGGAAGCGGTGGGCCTCGTTAAGATGCTGAAGAAAGTGCCCGGTTCAGCGACAACGCCAGCGGCGGGCGGAACCAACGAGGAAACCATGGGGCTTCAGCTCAAGCGGGGGATTGCCATCGTGGCTCGCGCGTTCGACGTATGGTGGGCCAGCCGCAACGAGTTCTCAGAAATGGTGAGAGCATGTAGAGATTCGAATAAACAGTCGACGTTGGCCTGCCTGCGGTACATTTCGCAACAATGGTAACATTTTCATCATCATCAACTCCTACCTCACCCGATCTCATTTCAACCGAACTCGTCGCAGCACATCGTGGCCACCCTTCATCGGTCGATGGAGTTTGATGTTGGGCTCCAGATCGCCACGAACAACAGTGCGAGAGAAGCGGGGGGAGAACCCCACCCCTCATCCTCCGCGTCGTCTTCCACGGCCGCACCAGACACGATGCGCCCCGCGTGTAGTCTGGGTTATATTGTTGGGATGGCGATGGAGAGCATAGATACCGACCGCAACGTCAATAGGACGGTGAGTTGCTGTTGCTGTAGCTGACATTGTTGTCATTTTAACGTCGGTGTGGCCTGCTCTCTCGTTGGTGTTGGTATTGCTCGTGCTGGTGTTGCTGGTGGTATGGTGCCACTGTCACAAAAAGAGGCGATTCCTTGGTACCGCCACACGCGAGCACAAGCACCGCACAAAACAGTCAGCGTTCAATCCAGGACTCCGCGGGTTCAGTCCAGACAAAATACATAGTGCTTGATTCAAGTCATTTGCTTCTGGATATACGACGGCACTTAGCAAAACGTTCTCCACATGCTTCGCTTGTTGCCGCTCTCATTGACCCTGACCCCTTGGCAAAGACCCAGATATACGGCAACAACAACAAACGGTAATTGGGTGAAGCGCGAGCGATTGGGGATGCATATGTGTTTCGTCCGCATGGGTTGTTCATCCAACACCCTTATTCAAGAAGAATCACCACCCTCACCCACCTGCGAACCCACCCTCCGATCCACAACTACGCCACAACAGGACCTTATGAATATTTTCGATGGGGTTGCGGAGGCAGCGAGGGTGGACCACATTCACATCGACGGGATGGATGTATGGAAAGACTCGTGCCCGCACTACAACGTGCGGGTGAAGGCCGGCCCTCTAGCAAACGCCCTCGCGGTCGAGTACGGTCTCGACCTTGGTGAAGGCGATGCCGTCGCCTTTTCCTGGCTTGAGAAGGGCCACCGGTGGCAAGAGGAGAATTCTATCGGCATCGGGGACTTTATCCGTTCCGAGGAGCTCAAGGAGCTCGAGAAGCTCGAGCGGGAGGTGAGAGAATATGCTACAGATGAGCTAGCCGCCATTACGTTTTGTGTCTTCATTGTCCTGTTGAAGTGTTCACTTTTTCTGTCGTTCCTCTAACCCCTGCACTCGAGGCTGCCAAGGGCGTCCCGCAATACCTTGGAACTCAGCACCTCTTCGACTGCCCCGGCATCTCATCTACCACCCAAACCTACAGTTTGCCATGAACGTATTCGTGCGCTCCGTCGTAAATAATGCACTCCTCTGGCTCTCGATAGATTACATGGCACCAAGCAATGCGAAAGAACAGAGCATCCTTCTACGCAACGCCTTGAATCTAAACTCCTCTCGAAATGCGCGTCGCTGTTTCTTGTATTCGTTGTGCACCGTGCACGTCCATGTCTTCTACCTGTTGTCGGCCTGGATTCAACAACAACGAAACGTCGTATCAGCGGGATGCCAACAAGGCAGAAAACCAACCGACCAGCGGAGCCGCCGCCGCTGCTGCACCCTCGCCAGCTTCGAACGGCAACACCGCGCGGTGGCCGCTGTTGAACAGGCAAACGAACACCGAAATCGCCTCCGACGAGCTTGTCGCCCGTGCTCTCGCTTCTCACATTAACCAGGAGTTTCTGTTAAAGGAAAAGCAGCAAGTGCAGGCGGATGAGGAATACGCGCGTAGCCTAGTTAGCGCTCAACCCACGGAGCAGCAGGCCTCGCAGGCTGCCCAAAAGCGAGGCAGTGCTGAAGAGGACGGCGAGGGATGGCAAACTGTGCGTAGGCCAAAGAATCGGCAGAATCAGTCCCGGACAAAGCCACGGCAGCAGCCACCAAGGCAGCCTCCCTAGCACACTAACTCTTAAACGATACACGCCTAGTCGTCGAGGTTGGTAATTCAATGCAGTGTTTTCCTACACCCCCCAGGCTGTTTACTACACAGTCCGTAGTTGTTGCTCTGCACTTCGAAGTACGGCCGATGCAAGAAGTAATTGTACTCTTCTCCTGTGCGACTAGGGAGGGAATTTATTTTTTTCCTAAACCTTTATTTGTCGAGTTTGTGCCAGGCTAGGCCACTGAGGTGTCCGTGGTGCTGTGGAACGCCACACTCATATCTAGGTGTATCATAACAGGACGTGGGTTTTTGTTGGTCTGGACTTCATATGCAGACCACAAAAGTAATGCGAGCAAGTGTGTTCTCGAACATCATGGATGCTGCTCTGCGTGTCGTGACGTTTCTCTGTGTGACCATGTCCGTGTATCTCTACTTTGACACTCGTACGACAACTTGCGTAAACCCCATTACTCTGGGGCATTGCGGATCACCCCCATTCAACTAGCAATTGTCGCTGATCCCAACGAGATGTGGCCATAGCAGCGCGCGGATAATTTCGTATTGTTTTAGTTGGGACGCCAAGGTTCAGGACTTGGATCGGATGCACTGTGTGATCTGTAGTACTGTAGCACGTTGATGAAGCATGTAGAGGCCGGTACTTCACTGATCGGGCTTGGGTTTCGAATGTATTTCAATACTACAACAAACGCCCTTTGGTCCGAGCCCCTTGTCCCAGACATGCATGCACTGAGGATATCCCTTCAGTGTAGAGCTTCGCTTGGCGGTGGATGGCGAATAATAACAGCTTCGGGATGGGACATAGCGCGTAATATTTACGTACAAATCGCCCACCACCTGATATGTTCACCAAACGGATACGCCTTAAATGCCCGCCGGAGCAGAACCCCGCATCGATTGGGACCATCCAACAGCGAAACTGACGAAACGAATGTCTCCATAACCTCTCATTACTGTCTGAAATTCCACCACATATGTACGCATGAAGCGGTACATCACGACATGACCGACCGGTAGGGGGGTTGTTTCCGTGAACCATTGCTCCATCATTTCAGTGCAGATCCCACTCAACTAAAACATACAGTATTGAAGTCGGCTGAATGGTAGGATCATGCCAACGTATCGCTTGTTGAGTCGTAAAGCGGTCTGCAGGTGACTCGACTAGTAACAACATGACTGCTTGTCCATGCCTTGAAAGAGCGGCTGGCCAGAAGCTGTGGCAAACAACTTCAAGCTCGCGTTAGCATTTTCGAGACAACTCATTGATTTACCCACCTCTCGCTATTGATTCTACATACTTCTGAATCGAAGCATCTCAGATCACCAACGTATCTTCCAAACCAGGGAGGCAGCAACGGGCAAGTTGGCCGATCAGTGGCATACATAGCCGATTCTTGTTTTTCGGTTGGGCGTTCAGGTGACGAGACCCATATGATGCCCCCAAAATGCTATGCACCCAGGGGTATGCGAAACAACCTAGGTTAGCGTTGGGTAGATAAGCTCTAAGTTGGTGTGCCGGCATTGGTGCTACAGTCGGTTGGCGTTGATATTGCAAGATAAATCTTCAATACATGACATGTACGCACGTAAAAACTACTTATCTGAAAAAATACTACCAAACTCTGTATGTCGTTGTGGATTGGGTCTCGCGCTGTGGGCCGTTTCAGCCGCTGATTATTTGGCGGGTAGGGAGACCGGGGCACGCACGGGGGGCTGCGCGCCGCGTCTCGTCCACGGGGCGGCCGCGGTGGTGGCGCGGTGAGCGTGGGGAGGTGGCGGCGCAACTGTTTGTGGCACACTACTGTAGAACGACGCCAAACCGGTGTTGGGGCAAGGCTGCTCTGTTGCGGTGTGGTCCGTTTTAGAACATTTCACGGCTACCAATCCAGTGATTTCCTTTCGCTTGAAGGGAGACTGAGACACGCAAGGGCCTGGGCATCGCGTGTCGCGCACGGGGCGGGCACGATCGTGGCGCGGTGAGCGTGCGGAGGGGGCGGCGCAATCACCCGCTACAACAGTCCTGGTACATCTTATTTCACCGAGAATTGGAAATTGCCTTTTCCTGCAACCGCCCCCGTGAGGAACTACGAGAGAGAAGCTACATGTAGGTCTGAACCAACTGCAACACAACAATGCCAGGCGAATGCACAGGACTGCTGTGACTCGCCAAGGACGGGAGCATGAAAGGTATATCAGTGGCTAGGACCTCGACTGGTCGTCCTCGGTAGCGCCCCGGACTGTAGGTGTATGTACCCGCTACAGCAAACAAAATAGAGCCGCTCGTTCATCATCATGCGGTTGGTTACGGAACCGTGAAGGTCATACCGATAGATATAGATAGTGACTACTAGTACCTCGCATAGCGCGAAGAGGGAGTGGAGGATTCCAGAATATCTGTCGTTGATTTCTATTGACTTGCGGACCCCTCGGGGCCAGTTTATTTGAGAGTGTACCTTTTTAGGGTAAGTTAACCTGTGACCACGGGAATCGACCGCGTCGAGTGTTGGATCAGTACGGACATACGAAGGTACTGGGTAGAGAGAGATCGGAACGGTTTTTAATGTGAAGACAACAACAACAACAACAACAACAACAACAACACCAACCAGACGATAGGAGAGCAAATATCCCCTGTTGCAGCGGTTATTCATCTCCTGATGCGTTGCTCTGGCAAGTTTCTCTCTCGCCTGGGCGGTGAGGGACGGGAGAGGGGGCAAGGAGCAGGGAGCAGAGGGAAGAGAAGAGATCGCCGAGAAGAGATCGCCGAAAAGAGATCGCACGTTGACACGCCTTCCCTTATTTCCTGGGTGCTCGCTGGAATGTTGATCTCGGCCAATCAAATCAGTGCCTGAGATCGCGGCAAGTTGGGGTCGTTTCTTCTTGCGAGCGTGCGTCCGTGTGAGCTCAGAGACCCGTGCCAGCCCACCGACCCCCGGGTTTGAAACATCACGTTGTGGTTCGCTGTGATGCCGTATTGGATTGATTGATTGATTTGGCACATCAAAGACTTAGAAAGACACCCGTGTAGGCTTCGCCCCTCGCAAACTGGCTCCATCCTTGCCAGAACACGTCGGAGTTCCAAAAAAATATTACACAGCGAGGCAAAACAACGAAGGCACGCACACTCACGCACTGCATGCATCTCGAACAAAATGTCAGAGGCTTTTGGATAGGGTTAATGCTGTACTTGTAGGGTGGGCACAGGTCGTAGGAGTATACTGTCATTAGGTATTATTAGAGAGTTTCGGACCAAAAAACAAACTGAAATAAGGAAATATATTTTGAACTAAGCCATCGTTCTGAGGATCGTTCCTGACAGTCTCGCCAGAAAACCCAAGATAAGGAATAAATAATCAGATTTAACAGCGGAGGGAGGCTCGTTTTGTGGAAAATTTTGCCAACTATTCGATTTAAGCAACTTTGTTCGAAACAACACATCAGGCACCACACACAACACATCATCAGGCACCACACACACGCACACACAGTCCGCAAGAACATGTCCAGCGGCCGCCCAAATAAAACCCAGCACCCAGCGCAAAGGCCCTGGAGTTGGCGCGCCACCAACACAAAAAGGGGGAGGCTGCACGGTCAGAAAACCAAGTTGGGGTTGGTTGTTGCGCGGCTTAAGGTCAGCAACACGCGCCCGTCACACACAGGTTGAGGCAAGGGGGAAGAAAAGCGCCGGAACGAACCGCGGCAACCGACGACGTAGAGGAGGTGGCAGCACCGCCAGCAAAGGGCGGAGAGGTGGAAGAGCACGCAGTTGTCTTCTGGTGACGCGCCGCAAGAGCATTCTCTGCTTCTACTAGAGAGAGCGTGTTTGACTTCGATGTGCCCCCGCCCCCCCAAAAACGCCCTCTCCCCAACGCTTGAAATGCGATACACAGCACTTCGTACAGGGCTGCCGGCCAGTATGTGTACTTCCTGTCGCTGTACTGGTGCGAGTTCGTGTGCTGGGGTTGAGGGGGCCAAACAGACACGCACACGCTTGCATGCACGCATACTCAACAGCAGTGGGAGCTCTGTGATCAGGGTGCATACATATGTAGTCAACGTATGAATGTGTGGCATGATCGGAGACAAAGTAACAGCATAATAACTGTACAGTCAGATGATACACGTGGCCGGTGTATCTCTCGCATCAATACTGCCGGGTGGCGGCGCCATGTAATGCTGCCTCTGGAGAGAGAGAGCTAGAGAGAGAGAGAGAAAGAGAGAGAGATAGAGAGAAAGAGAGAGCATCATCATCAAAGCAAGAGGCAGGGAGACAATAGCGAAGGTGAGACTCCCCCATGCCGGGCGTGCGTCGATTGACGTGCTGACCTTTTGTTCCCGGGCATTGATCCATCACTCACACATTGCTCGAGATCTTTGAACCCACCTGATCATGGTCGACGTTCAGAGCAGAAATTACGTTTGCTGTCTGGGATGCTTGTTTTGTTGTTTTGGCTCTCATGGTCGGCCGTGGTAGATAATATGTTGCAACGGGCATTTTCGGGCCTTTGTCGTGTCTTCTCCTGCTGAATTTATTTTTGCGATGACGATTTTCGATGCAACCAGCGGAGACGATGACGAGAAGAGCCACCCGAGATACATAATAATCAAAATCCAATACCACCATTGATAATTACTTCCTCCGGGCCCTCCGTGATCAAGTTTGATTGTTGATTCAGTATTTTTGCCACTTTGAACAACCTATCTATCTATATGATACCTAGAATAATAGGTGTGTGGTGCAATTTCTTCGCTCAGAACAAAGGCCTGAATTCGCACGACATGGTCAATTGTGTCAGGCGCGGCGATGTGCTGGAGATGCAAGCAGGGGAGGAGGACTCGGGGGTTGAACTTCGTTCGGTGGGATTGCCGTCCGGTGGTGGAGGGTGAAAAAGATGATAAGGATGTTGATGCGGGACGGGTTGTGGATTATGGCGGGCGACAGTTGATGAGTCGCTCGTGGCGGATGGAGACGTAGAGAACAGGAAGGGAGGGGAAAGA